TGCCTGAGCCCAGGGGTTCGAGACCAGCCTGGGCAACTTGGTGAGACCTCATCTCTACAATATATCAAAAAATTAGCTAGGCATGGTAACGCGCACCTGTAGTTCCAGCTACTTGGAAGGCTCAGGTGGAATGATTGCCTGAGCCCAGCAGGTCGACACAGGGGCGGCCATGAGTGTGCCACTGCACTCCAGCCTGGACGACAGAGTAAGGCTCTGACTCAAAAAACAAAAAAGATTAACAGCGCCATGCATTACCACAACAAAATCTGTTGGCCTGGGCTTTAGAATCTGAAAGTCCAGCGCTGGCTTTTAATTCTTTTTTTTCGAGTTGGTGTCTCACTCTGTCACCCAGACTGGAGTACAGTGGCTGCTCCCGGCCACTACAGCCTTGACCTGCTGGGCTCCAGCGATCCTTCCGCCTCAGCCTTCCAAGTAGGCGCGCGCTACCACACCCGGCTAATTTTTTGATTTATTGTAGAGACGAGGTCTCGCCAAGTTGCCCAGGTTGGTCCCAAATCCACAGGCTCAGGTAATCCACTCGCCTCAGCCTCCCAAAGTGCTGGGATTACTGGCTGAGTCACTGACCCTGGCCCAAATTTATCTTTAAATCTCTTTCGGCCTCATCTGGCTTTTATGTCTAAATTCATCTTGCTGTTGTTGCTTACATTGTTTTTGTTTTTATTTAGTCATTTATTTATTTTGATTTTTGCTTTGGGTCTGGGCTTGTGGAGACCATCCTAAGAAATGTATCCTGGCCGGGCGAGATAGCTCACGCCAGTAATCCCAGCATTTTGGGAGGCGGAGGTAAGAGGATTGCCTGAGCCCAGGGGTTCGAAACCAGCCTGGGCAACTTGGCGAGATCTTGTCTGTACAATAAATCAAAAAATTAGTCAGGTGTGGTGGCGTATGCCTGTGGTTCCAGCTACTTGGAAGGCTGAGGTGGAAGGATCGCCTGAGCCCAGTGGGTAGAGGCTGCGGTGGCTGTGATCATGCCACTGCACTCCAGCCTGGTTGACAAAGTGAGACTCCTACTCAAAAAACAACAACAACAACAACAACAACAAGAAATGCATCCTTGTGAATAGAGACTGTGACACCTGTGCTGGGAAGAAGATAAGTGACGTTCCCTGTCTCTGCGAAGCCCATGATTGGCAGCTGCAGAATGAGAAGGCAAAGTATTGCCCACAGACCTGGACTTCTGCTGGTTAGGATTCTGTCATTTCCTTCTCCCCTGTGACTCACCTGAGGTGTGTATTGTCGTTTCAGGATGTGAAGGTGCTGCATAAACAGTTGGCAGGGTCTGAGCTGGAGCAAATGGATGTTCCCATTGGCACAGGTCTGGACGACATCCTTGAGATGATCAGAATTCAGTGGGAGAGAGATGTCGAAAAGAACCGCGTGGAGGCAGGAGCCCTGCTCCAGGCTAAGGTGAGTGGCGGGACCAGAACTCTCCACGTTGCCCAGTGCAGAAGGCCAGACACAGATTAAAAAGTAGCCAACCACAGTTGATATCCACCTGGGGTAGGGGGGCACACCTCATCAATAAGGGTGCCTGCACAATGAACATTTGTATACCTAACCCTGAATTGTACCCCACAATTTCAAAATAAAAATTAAAAGAGAAAGAAAATGCAAAAAAAAAGTCGTCAACGGAATGCAACTCTCTAGCAACAAGTCCAATCTCATGAGACTTAGAAGACAAGAAAATGAAAGCAATACCTTTTTGTTTTCCTAACTAAAAGTAGAAAATGTTTAAAATGATAATACTCAATGCTGGTAAGTAGGTGGAAAATTAAGTTGTGTACCATATTACTGAAGAGTACTGATGCGTTGCCTTAGAATAAGGAAGTTGGTAGGATGGCTTGAAAGTGTTAAAATACCCCTAACTACCAGTTGAATAATCTAGACACAATGCTAAAAAAAGAAAAAAATGCAAATACAAATAGTTTATGTCCAAATATGCTCACTGAAACATTATAAAGCGTGAAAAATTGGGGGCAAAAACATACAATTGTTTAAAAATAAGAGAAAGACTAGCCATAACCTCACTATGCAATGTGTAATGAAACATCAGGCAGTTATTAGAAATGACGTTTACGAAACATTTTTAATAACGTGGGAAAATGCTCGTGATATAAGGTAAAATTGGGAGAAAAAGAGAGTACAGGATAGGATATACTAAAAGCCAACACACGTTTTCAGTAAAGGACCAGATAGTAAACATTTCAGGCTTCGTGGACCAGATGGTTGCGACTATCCAGCTCTGCCATTGCAGTGTGAAAACAGACATAGACCATAGGTAACAAGCGAGCGTAGCTGTGTCCCAATAAAACTTTATTTACAAAAACCGGTGGAGGGTTGCATTTGGCCTGTGGGCTGCGGTTTGCCAACTCCTGGTATATACAGCAGGGGAAAGCATTCAAACAAAGAAAACAGACCTCAAGAAAAAAATGAGAAAGAACAGACAAGAATGTGAATGGTGTTCGCAGTGATTGCCTTTGAGGGGTGGACCAGCCTGAGACTTTGAGATGTGTTTTCTTTCTTGTTTGGGGGTATTTCTCATGTTTTTCTCAAGTAGTATGAGTCATATTTATGGAGAGAAAGCAACTTTCCTGAAGCCTCATAAACTGTAAAGGAACTAACCAGAAGGTAGAATGTGTAATCTTCCCTTTTCCATCTCCTGCCCACCTGTGACTTTGGACTTCTGAGGAGTGGATGAAAACAGAAGAGAAAGGAAAATATGACTCAATGGGGAAGAAAAGGGAGAGGATGGAAAAAAGGTACAGAGGCCGTTTCCAAGTTCCTGGTTGCCATTTAGTGGCTCTCAGTCCTGGCTACACAGTGGAATCACTTCCCAGCATTTCAGAAATGCCCATGCCAGGGCCCCATCCCAGACCAATTCAATTAGGAAGTGGGGGACTTTGTGATTTTTTTTTTTTTAATGCTCTCTGGATGATTCTACCGTGCAGCCAGATTTGAGAACTATGGGAGTTATAACAGTTATGACGTGAAAATCAGGAGGGGCCGGGCACAGTGGCTCCCACCTGCAATCCTAATACTTTGGGATTACCGAGGCAGGAGGATTGCTTGAGCCCAGGAGTTTGAGACCAGACTGGACAACACAGTAGAGACCTCATCTCTACCAAAAAATAAAAAATAAAAACATTAACCGAGCTTGGTGGCGTACATCTGTAGTCCCAGCTACTTGGAAGACTGAGGCAGAAGGATTACCTGAGCGTAGGAGGTTGAGGTTTTGGTGAGATGTGATCTTGTCACCGTACTCCAACCTGGGCGACAGAGTGAAGACTCCAGCTCAAAAAAAAAAAAAAAAATTACAGCCGGGCTCGGTGGCTCAGCCCGTAATCCCGCGCCTTTGGGAGGCTGAGGTGAGTGGATTGACGGAGCCCGTGGGTTCTAGACCCACCTGGGCAGCGAGACCTCATCTCTACAATAAATAAAAAAAATCAGCCGGGCGTGGTAGCGCACGCCTGTAATTCCAGCTACTCGGAAGGCTGAGACGGAAGGATCGCCGGAGCCCAGCGGGTCGAGGCTGCGGTGGCCGGGAGCGGCCACTGCACTCCAGTCTGGGCGACAGAGTGAGACTCCAACTCAAAAAAAAAAAAAATTACAACATTTAATTGAGAAAACTAGGAAAGACGTTTCTGTTCTTTTTTCTACCACATTCCCTCAATGTCCTTGTCTCCCAAGCATCAACAAGAACCTTCCCCGCAGGGTCTTCACCAATTCTGGATCCCCAAATGTTCTTCAGCCCAGAAAGCATTCTCACCCTTACTTCTCCACCCCCACCCCCTTACAAGGGATTCTTTTCTTTCTAACCATCAACTTCTTGAACCAGGTCACTGAAAACACTTTTTTTTTGAGTTGGAGTCTCACTCTGTCACCCAGACTGGAGTGCAGTGGCACGCTCCCGGCCACTGCAGCCTTGGCCTGCTGGGCTCCCTTGATCTGCTGGGCTCCCTTGATCCTTCCACCTCAGCCTTTCAAGGTGTTAGAACTACAGGCACATGCTACCACGCCCGGCTAATTTTTGATTTATGGTAGAGATGAGGTCTCCTCAAGTTGCCCAGGTGGGTCTCGAACCCATGGGCTCAAGCAATCCACTCACCTCAGCCTCCCAAAGTGCTGGGATGACAGTCTGAGTCACCAAGCCCGGCCTAGACTCCTGCTCTAAACCAGATGACACGGGGCAAAATCTGTGAGCCCTTGGGTCCTAGTCTTATGGGGTGGGGTATCACTACACCTGAGTAATTATTTTTATTTTTATTTTTCATAGAGATGAGGTCTTGTTATATTGCTCAGGCTAGTCTCAAACTCCTGGGCTCAAGCAACCCTTCCATCTCAGCCTCCCAAACTGCTGGGATTACAGGCATGAGCCACTGTGCCCAGTCACTGCAAACGCTTGTTATGGCCAATAGTGCCTAGTAACTCAAGAAAAGGGAGCCCTCTGTCCCCACCAACCTGGCAAGAGGTGGAGCAAAACAGAGGAAAAGTGAAGCCAAACCACAGATTTGATTTGGGTCTATTGCCTTTTTTAAGACACGCGTAAATGTTTACGGTTAATGACCCTGGAGACTGTCTGATCCCTTCCCTTCATCTTAGAGATGAAGAAACTGAGACTAGCAAGTGCAAGGGACATCCTAAGGTCACACAGCTGGTTGGTAGCTCCACAGTTCAACACTCTTGGCTCTCGGGCCAGAGACGAATCCCCTGCTTCGGGCTTCACCACTGCTGCCAGATCTGCTCCCAAAGCTAAGTCTCAGTGGCCAGCAGTTTGCAACCTTGCTTCTGCCCCAGCACTCATGGGTGGACACCACACTGTGTGGACTCTTTGAGAAAGGGCCGGCCATTATAATGATCAGAAATAAATCCTGCATCGCTGGTAAAAGAAGAAAAAACTGGTCATTATTATTCACCCCTCAACCCTTGGGGAATCATCACTAGTGCAACAGTAACTCAAACATTAATTCTGAACAGATTCATCAGTGTTTTTTTAATAGAGTAATCTGAAAGCTACATCTCAGAGAAAACAGACAGTGTTTGTTTTAGCTTGGCCAGGGCTGCCTGGGCCTCTTGCAGAGAGGCAGAGCTCAGAAAATATTTGCAGAATGAGTGAATTCCTCTGATCATCAGCAGAGATCAGAACTGACAGCCAGAATTCCTCCAATAAACAGTTTTGTCAGTTGCAGTTGTGCCCGCGGGGGCTGACATTTGCCCGTCCTGAGCATCTCCTGTCGGCTTCTTGGCGGCAAAGCACAAATGGGAAATGGCTTAGCACGCACTGCTTTCAAAAGCTTTTGGAAGGAGAATGCAAATACACACATAATGACCTTTCAGACCAGGGAGGCTGAGCATTAATTAACGTGATTAATTCATGTCTGTCTTTAAGTTCCCCCAGAAGCCGGAGGAGTGAAGGCACTTTACCTGGAAGCTGGGGGGAAAATTCAGCAAAATGCTGGTAGAGGAGAAGCAGAGAAGAGAACCAACAGAGAATGTGTTGTCAAGCCAGCTAGTGTAGCAGCGCCAAGCTAAACCCAGGGGAATTCTGGAAAATGGTGTAGCGTGCAGGCCAGGGGAAAGGTGAGGGAGCTGCAGTATGAATGCCTCCTGAGGCATTAATACCAGGGTCAATACCAACTGAGTCATTAATACCAGGATCAAAGCCACCTGAGGCATTATTACCAGGGTGAATACCACCTGAGGCATTAATTCCAGGGTCAATACTGAGGCATTAATACCAGGATCAATACCACCTGAAGCATTATTACCAGGGTGAATACCACCTAAGGCTTTAATACCAGGGACAATAACACCTGAGACATTAATACCAGGGTCAATACCACCTAGGACATTAATACCAATGACAATATCACCTGAGGCATTAATACCAGGGTGAATACCACCTGAGGTTTTAATACTAGGGTCAATACTACCTGGGACATTAATACCAGTGTCAATACCAACTGAGGCATTAATACCAGGGTTAATACCACCTGAGACATTAATACCAGGGTCAATACTGAGGCATTAATACCAGTATCAATACCACCTGAGGCATTAATACCAGGGTGAATACCACCTAAAGCCTTAATACCAAGGTCAATAACACCTGAAGCATTCATACCAGGGTGAATACCACCTGAATCATTAATACCAGGGTCAATACTACCTGAAGTATTAATACCAGAGTTGATACCACCTGAAGTACTAGTACCAGGGTTAATACCACCGATGTATTAATACCAGGGCTAATACTACCTGAAGCATTAATACCAGGGTCAATAACCACCTGTTGTATTAATGCCAGAGTCAATACCACCAGAAGCATTAATGCCAGGGCTAATACCACCAGAAGCATTAATGCCAGGGCTAATACCACCAGAAGTATTAATACGAGTCAATAGCACGTG